ATGTGTCTCACAGCGGATACACCACACTTCTGCCCCAGTATGCTATGGTAGGGGCTGACTCTCTACCGTGGGCTGCTGGAGCTACTCTCTGTGTCATCATGATCTGTGGTTGTTGCAGCTATCAGCATGTGGTCTGCTGGGTGTGGAGACGAGGCTGTATGTGTCTCACAGCGGATACACCACACTTCTGCCCCAGTATGCTATGGTAGGGGCTGACTCTCTACCGTTGGCTGCTGGAGCTACTCTCTGTGTCATCATGATCTGTGGTTGAAATGAAATGAAATGAAATGAAATGAAATGAAATGAAATGAAATGAAATGAAATGTGTTTATTGTCTTGTGAATTTATACAAATTATTGACAATGTCCGAAAAACTGCTAAAACTAGCATAGTCAATATACTAACTAAACTATAAACTAGCATGAATACAATATACAATATTTACAAGAATACTACACACAAGGAGACATGTTACAATACATACTTTAATATTACAACCAAATAATCTTATTGTTCAGAAAAATGCAAGGCATTTAGAATAATGAAAGTTATTAAACCCCATAACCAACTAAATCCAACAGTAATTTGATAAATTTGCTAGCTCCTACTTAAAAATTAATAAAAGGCATTTCAAAAAAATCTTTTAGAGAATAAAAAGGGTTGTTCAAAAGCCATTTGTAGAATTTAGATTTAAAAGTTTTATTAGGATATTTTGTTATTAAATGTATTAGCTTGTTGTATATTTTTAGTGAGATTACAATATGACTTTTAAGAGTTTTAGACAGTCTAAAAAAATCTATGGTAGCAACGTTTTTATTCCTTGTATTATGAACATGAGAATTTTGTTTGATAAGGTTGGGATTTTTTAGAATATATGATACAGAGTCAAATATATAAATGTTAATTACTGTTGGAATTTGTAGCTGAATGAACAGGGGTTTACAGTGTTCCTGTTGGGGTTCACAAGATATGATTCTAACTAACTTCTTTTGTAAGACTAAAATTTCCTCTATCCTACTGCAATTTCCGTAAAAGATAATATTGTATCTGAAAATGGATTGGAAATAAGCAAAGTAGGCTGTTTTAATATAATTTTGATCTATACAATGTATTAGTTTAGTTATAAGACAAATTACCCTTGAAAGCTTAGAACTTATGTAATCTATATGATCTCCCCAAGAAAGGGTCTTATCCAGATAAGGTTGTTGCAGCTATCAGCATGTGGTCTGCTGGGTGTGGGGGCGTGGCTGTATGGGTCTCACAGCGGATACACCACACTTCTGCCCCAGTATGCTATGGTAGGGGCTGACTCTCTACCGTAGGCTGCTGGAGCTACTCTCTGTGTTATCATGATCTGTGGTTGTTGCAGCTATCAGCATGTGGTCTGCTGGGTGTGGAGACGAGGCTGTATGTGTCTCACAGCGGATACACCACACTTCTGCCCCAGTATGCTATGGTAGGGGCTGACTCTCTACCGTGGGCTGCTGGAGCTACTTTCTGTGTCATGATCTGTGGTTGTTGCAGCTATCAGCTTGTGGTCTGCTGGGTGTGGGGGCGTGGCTGTATGTGTCTCACAGCGGATACACCACACTTCTGCCCCAGTATGCTATGGTAGGGGCTGACTCTCTACCGTTGGCTGCTGGAGCTACTCTCTGTGTCATCATGATCTGTGGTTGTTGCAGCTATCAGCATGTGGTCTGCTGGGTGTGGGGGCGTGGCTGTATGGGTCTCACAGCGGATACACCACACTTCTGCCCCAGTATGCTATGGTAGGGGCTGACTCTCTACCGTGGGCTGCTGGAGCTACTCTCTGTGTCATCATGATCTGTGGTTGTTGCAGCTATCAGCATGTGGTCTGCTGGGTGTGGAGACGAGGCTGTATGTGTCTCACAGCGGATACACCACACTTCTGCCCCAGTATGCTATGGTAGGGGCTGACTCTCTACCGTTGGCTGCTGGAGCTACTCTCTGTGTCATCATGATCTGTGGTTGTTGCAGCTATCAGCATGTGGTCTGCTGGGTGTGGGGGCGTGGCTGTATGGGTCTCACAGCGGATACACCACACTTCTGCCCCAGTATGCTATGATAGGGGCTGACTCTCTACCGTAGGCTGCTGGAGCTACTCTCTGTGTTATCATGATCTGTGGTTGTTGCAGCTATCAGCATGTGGTCTGCTGGGTGTGGGGGCGTGGCTGTATGTGTCTCACAGCGGATACACCACACTTCTGCCCCAGTATGCTATGGTAGGGGCTGACTCTCTACCGTAGGCTGCTGGAGCTACTCTCTGTGTAATCATGATCTGTGGTTGTTGCAGCTATCAGCATGTGGTCTGCTGGGTGTGGAGACGAGGCTGTATGTGTCTCACAGCGGATACACCACACTTCTGCCCCAGTATGCTATGGTAGGGGCTGACTCTCTACCGTAGGCTGCTGGAGCTACTCTCTGTGTCATCATGATCTGTGGTTGTTGCAACTATCAGCCTGTGGTCTGCTGGGTGTGGGGGCGTGGCTGTATGTGTCTCACAGCGGATACACCACACTTCTGCCACAGTATGCTATGGTAGGGGCTGACTCTCTACCGTAGGCTGCTGGAGCTACTCTCTGTGTCATCATGATCTGTGGTTGTTGCAGCTATCAGCGTGTGGTCTGCTGGGTGTGGGGGCGTGGCTGTATGTGTCTCACAGCGGATACACCACACTTCTGCCCCAGTATGCTATGGTAGGGGCTGACTCTCTACCGTAGGCTGCTGGAGCTACTCTCTGTGTAATCATGATCTGTGGTTGTTGCAACTATCAGCATGTGGTCTGCTGGGTGTGGGGGCGTGGCTGTATGTGTCTCACAGCGGATACACCACACTTCTGCCCCAGTATGCTATGGTAGGGGCTGACTCTCTACCGTAGGCTGCTGGAGCTACTCTCTGTGTTATCATGATCTGTGGTTGTTGCAGCTATCAGCATGTGGTCTGCTGGGTGTGGAGACGAGGCTGTATGTGTCTCACAGCGGATACACCACACTTCTGCCCCAGTATGCTATGGTAGGGGCTGACTCTCTACCGTAGGCTGCTGGAGCTACTCTCTGTGTCATCATGATCTGTGGTTGTTGCAGCTATCAGCATGTGGTCTCCTGGGTGTGGGGGCGTGGCTGTATGTGTCTCACAGCGGATACACCACACTTCTGCCCCAGTATGCTATGGTAGGGGCTGACTCTCTACCGTGGGCTGCTGGAGCTACTCTCTGTGTTATCATGATCTGTGGTTGTTGCAGCTATCAGCATGTGGTCTGCTGGGTGTGGGGGCGTGGCTGTATGTGTCTCACAGCGGATACACCACACTTCTGCCCCAGTATATAATGGTAGGGGCTGACTCTCTACCGTAGGCTGCTGGAGCTACTCTCTGTGTCATCATGATCTGTGGTTGTTGCAGCTATCAGCATGTGGTCTCCTGGGTGTGGGGGCGTGGCTGTATGTGTCTCACAGCGGATACACCACACTTCTGCCCCAGTATGCTATGGTAGGGGCTGACTCTCTACCGTGGGCTGCTGGAGCTACTCTCTGTGTTATCATGATCTGTGGTTGTTGCAGCTATCAGCTTGTGGTCTGCTGGGTGTGGAGACGAGGCTGTATGTGTCTCACAGCGGATACACCACACTTCTGCCCCAGTATGTTCTGGTAGGGGCTGACTCTCTACCGTGGGCTGCTGGAGCTACTCTCTGTGTTATCATGATCTGTGGTTGTTGCAGCTATCAGCATGTGGTCTGCTGGGTGTGGGGGCGTGGCTGTATGTGTCTCACAGCGGATACACCACACTTCTGCCCCAGTATGCTATGGTAGGGGCTGACTCTCTACCGTGGGCTGCTGGAGCTACTCTCTGTGTCATCATGATCTGTGGTTGTTGCAACTATCAGCATGTGGTCTGCTGGGTGTGGAGACGAGGCTGTATGTGTCTCACAGCGGATACACCACACTTCTGCCCCAGTATGCTATGGTAGGGGCTGACTCTCTACCGTGGGCTGCTGGAGCTACTCTCTGTGTCATCATGATCTGTGGTTGTTGCAACTATCAGCATGTGGTCTGCTGGGTGTGGAGACGAGGCTGTATGTGTCTCACAGCGGATACACCACACTTCTGCCCCAGTATGCTATGGTAGGGGCTGACTCTCTACCGTGGGCTGCTGGAGCTACTCTCTGTGTCATCATGATCTGTGGTTGTTGCAACTATCAGCATGTGGTCTGCTGGGTGTGGAGACGAGGCTGTATGGGTCTCACAGCGGATACACCACACTTCTGCCCCAGTATGTTCTGGTAGGGGCTGACTCTCTACCGTGGGCTGCTGGAGCTACTCTCTGTGTTATCATGATCTGTGGTTGTTGCAGCTATCAGCATGTGGTCTGCTGGGTGTGGAGACGAGGCTGTATGGGTCTCACAGCGGATACACCACACTTCTGCCCCAGTATGTTCTGGTAGGGGCTGACTCTCTACCGTGGGCTGCTGGAGCTACTCTCTGTGTTATCATGATCTGTGGTTGTTGCAGCTATCAGCATGTGGTCTGCTGGGTGTGGAGACGAGGCTGTATGGGTCTCACAGCGGATACACCACACTTCTGCCCCAGTATGTTCTGGTAGGGGCTGACTCTCTACCGTTGGCTGCTGGAGCTACTCTCTGTGTTATCATGATCTGTGGTTGTTGCAGCTATCAGCATGTGGTCTGCTGGGTGTGGAGACGAGGCTGTATGTGTCTCACAGCGGATACACCACACTTCTGCCCCAGTATGTTCTGGTAGGGGCTGACTCTCTACCGTGGGCTGCTGGAGCTACTCTCTGTGTTATCATGATCTGTGGTTGTTGCAGCTATCAGCATGTGGTCTGCTGGGTGTGGAGACGAGGCTGTATGGGTCTCACAGCGGATACACCACACTTCTGCCCCAGTATGTTCTGGTAGGGGCTGACTCTCTACCGTGGGCTGCTGGAGCTACTCTCTGTGTTATCATGATCTGTGGTTGTTGCAGCTATCAGCATGTGGTCTGCTGGGTGTGGGGGCGTGGCTGTATGTGTCTCACAGTGGATACACCACACTTCTGCCCCAGTACGCTCTGGTAGGGGCTGACTCTCTACTGTTGGCTGCTGGAGCTACTCTTTTTGTCATCACTTTCTTCGGTTGCTGCGGCAGCTGGTGTCAAAGCAGATGTTTACTTGTTATGGTAAATAATTAACTCTCCATGTGTTATATTATTCGTTAAAGTCTATTTACGTTATAAGGTCTTAAAAACTTTTCTAATACAAGTATTTGAAGTGACACAGCTCTATTTTTGATCATCAAGATGATCTGATATTATCCTATTTACAAGGGGTATAATGAGACCCCAAGGCACTTCTTCTAGATTTGTCAGAGCACCTCAGTCTGTTGATATAATAAGAAACATTCAACGCCCAGACACCTGATGAATGCCTAATTTTTGCTGACCAATTACTCCTCAGGACGATGATTCCCTTTCACCAGATTACCAAGATTTACTAAGCGTTCTTCTTACTTCTAAGAGTTCCTCACATTAAAAACACACCTTGATTGGCAGTCTCCTCTGACTTTCCGCAATTCCTTCATAAGCCCGTTTGTTGCTGATTATTTTTAAACCGTTTAGGGGCCAGTAAATAATTCAATTGTTTGTCTGAGTTTTCGCCAATCCAACCTCAGCAGGGTGTCTGAGGCAACCAGTTTTGAAGGTGTGTCTTACTCTTAAAAGAGATACATCAGCTTATCTCATGCATTGTTTTTTAGGCCTATCAAAAGTTACTGCGGAAGCAATGTTTGCAAGTCTCAGCAGCTATATTAAAGCTAATCAATGGTTTTCAATGGTTCCACCAAAGAAAACCTTTAGTCTTAGTCAGTAACAAAGCTAAATAGAAAGTCAATTTTACTCCTTTCTCCACTTACCCTGTATCCTTTTTTTTATTTGTTATCTCACGCAATATTTAAATCTTTGTTATTTTTATGTTCATGTAAGTTTACATAAAGTAAGTTGCTTTCAGAGGTTCTGTAGGCTGTGTAACCTTTTAACCTTTTATTGTGTATCTAAGAGTGCAAGGGTAATTTTCTCAGGTAAGCTAGATGAACTCTATCTCTTTTCAAAAAAAATATCTAACAGTTCTTAGGAATCGTGCACTTTTTTGAGCATTAAAAACAATAAACGATTATTAGTGTCGTTAATGAATATTGACATTCATTTAATTTTCACCTATAGCCTATGTTCTCGTCAATAAAGCCTCCAGTCTGAGCCTTGAATTTGTGAATTAATAACCAGGGTTATACCGTATATGTTGGTTTTTGTGCTCCCCTTCAGAGCTAAAGGTTGCTTGCTCAATACTAGAGGGGTTGATTCCAGACCTATTTGCCATTAGCTATATATTAATGATGCAATCAGGCAAATGGTCAATGTTATTCAGTAACGATATTGGTAACAATAACCGTTCCCAGACAAAAAGTTTGAAAAATGGCAATGATCTTAAGACACACAAAATAAAATTGATATAAAAGTAGAAAATTTAGCTATCAATATTACTCTAAAATTTTTAACTCATGACATTTTGTTATCTTTATTTTTTTTCACACTGCAGCAAAAAAAAACCGTTTTTAAATCATGCAAGGCTCTTTTACACCCCAGGGAGTAAAATGGCTTTTTAGTTCCTAGAAAGTAAAAGCAAGGCAAAAGTCAGCTGTTGTAAACAATTTAGGTATGGATTTATTTAATCGGTTTTAGCTTATTGTTGTGTTCTTTAGTTCGACATATTGATAGTATAATGTACAATAACGCAATCATAATAAAAAAAATTATCAAACCACTTACTAAACAGCTGTTTATTTGCATTATACTCCGTTCACAATATTTAGGCGGTTTGAGGGAAAGTCCCCCCCCCCACTTTTTTCCCTTTATGTATGATGCAGCTGATTAGTGTTTTGACAAATCTCAGCTGTTGAGCTATGTTTTAATGGTAGGATTAAGACTGGATGAGATAGAAATCTTCCCCTTAAGCCGCCTAAATTTTGTAAACTGAGTATAGCAATATTGAAATCAATATCGAAGTCGTTTTAAGAGGTTATCTTTACATGAAAAGTATTACTGGTTTTCTAGCTTAGTTTGCTAATTATACTATCTATCTATCGATTAATCTTATCTATTTAATGTTGCATTATGAAATAATATAGTTAATAAAACAGGCAAAAAGTGTCTTTTCAACTCTCACTCATTTTCCTTGGGCCGAAAAGTGTCTCTTTACGGCTTAGCGATGAAATACTATTAGGGGCTATGAGTGTCAATGAGTTCAACGACTTTCAGTCACAGCACCATTATGTAATCTTTAGTTTATAGATACTAAGTACTCAGGTACTGTCAACAAAAGTATTAATCCCCTTCCTCTGTTGTGCACAGTACTTTACGTTGGTGATATTCCTCTTCTTGGTAGAGTTTGCGATTGCAACACTTGCTTTCGTCTTTCGAGAGAGGTTGGGTCTCTCCATGAAAGATGAGTTGCTTTTTGGGATTGAGGAACATTACCTGAACCCTCCAGACAACGGGATGGAAGTCATCTGGGACCACATTCAGGAGGAGGTAAAGAATATCTTTATACGCGACTCATATTGCACAATGTTTAATAAGTTAAGTCATTTGTATAATCCTTCAATTGTTTTGTTTGACATTTAGATCAAATCTTTCTCGGCATCTAAAATCATAAGAAGTAATCTCAAAAGTGGGGCTAAGAGACATGAACATCTTAAATAGTACAAAAACGTTTGCGTATAAAATTTCATCTTCTCATTTAGTATGATTATTGATTTTGCCATTTCTTGTTCAAAATATTTTGAAGGCTTGTTGATATTTTTATTCTGTGTTTTTCCATATATGACTTTAAAATGGACTCAAAGCTGGTCTTTTTTGAAAATACATTGCAAATGTTTCAGCAAGTTAATTAATGAACTGTTGAGATAAGATAGGGCTGTGTTCTGTGCATGAAGAAAATACAGTCTGCCATAGTGTCCGAAATACCAAATATTATACTAGTATTGTAGGACAATTGTGCCATTGATGGCATGGATAGTATACTTGAGTAACAACTCATTCAAAGCATTAATTTGACTCAGAAAAAACATTCAGTATAATATCCTGAATACAAATCAAGTTAGCACAGAGAGTGTAAGAGTGTGTTTGAGATATCACAACAAATACAAGAAGCTCTATTCATTCAAGTAAAGTTTGTATGTGAATTAAAATTTTAAAGAGTGAAATATAATTTTTGTAAATGTATTAAAGCATGTTTATTTGTGTCTCTTTTAGTTTCACTGCTGCGGTGTCACCAGCTATGAGGACTGGTTTGATATCAAAGCTTGGCCAGGCAAGAAATTTGTTCCAGACTCATGCTGTCTACCAAAGTTTGAGAACACCACAGGTAATTTAAAAAGTTTCATACTATAAATAACTAAAGGTATAGCCTTTTAAGTGTTACGGATGCACTCTTTACATAAAAAAGTTCATTTGAAAACTACAAATAAATCATAAAATAACAAAATTTAAATGGGAGGAAAAGAAATTACATGGGAGTTAGTAGAAAACACATTTTGTCTGGGCCCTTTGAACAATTTACTCTTTAACCACCAATTTGGTTTGGTCAGAAAAGATTAGATTGGATTTTTAGATACTATGGTACCTACTTTAGGTCAAAACTTAAATAATGTAGACCTTCACTTAAATTTTATCAAGTTAAAAAAAAAGTATAGGACAACGTTGTTGGTAATTAAATGGATGTAGCTACAATTTAGGAAACACATATCTATCTTACAGCTTAGTGAATATAAGATATTTTTGAATTTTTTGCTTGTTCTTCCAAAGGGTCCTAAAATGTCTAAGACTGCTGGTTGACAAAGGCCACTCATTGCCTGGGTCCCTTCTGTAAACACTTAAATACTTTTAATTGAAATGGTGAGGTTACCATACGAAGGTATGTATTTTAAGCCAAATATAAATATAAATGGAGATAACTGTAGGAGGATACTGTTTCACTTTAATTAAAATTTAGTTTTTCCTACCGTAAAGGATATGCCTTATCAGGAAATATATAATTTTGAGCTATACATCTCACACTTTTGTTGAAAACTTTTGTCTCAAACTCAAAGTTTTGTCATAAATGCAATCTGTGTAAGTATCGGTAGGTAACTGCTTTTTGAGAAATATTTTTTTTAGGTGAGGAAAGTGGTTTACATGTTTATCCTTATTTTTCTTGATGTTCAAATGTGTGTTTGTCGGCATACCAACATTTTGGTTAGTAATGTTAACTGTCCAACTGTTGGTTGTCAGTCGAAACCAAAATCGATTCATACAATACCATAACTACCCCAGTAGTACTGTATGGTTCAGAAACATGGGCACTGACCAAAGAACCAAAACACCTTATTGCTGGGTTTGAGAATAAAATGCAGAGAAAATATACGGACTAGTTCAAGATAACTAAGGTTGAGATATGAATAAATAGAGAGCTCAGAGAAATGTATAAACACCCAGATATAGGGGGGTTTCCAAAAGTAAAAGATTTGAACAGGCAGGCTTATGAGTGGTGGAGAGAAGATACATCAACTTTTAAAAGTGTATTCCAAGGAGTGCCACAAGGTAGACGACCTCTAAGAAGACTGTGTTGTAGAGACCAAGTAATGAAACACATCTCCAGACTGGGATCTACATTAGAAGAGGCAGGTGATAGAAGGGAATGGGAGGACAGAATCCTCTTAAGGTTTTAGTGGCCACGGAGGTAAGATAAGTACGGTAAGTGATAGTATGCAATGAAAGTGGTGTAGGTACTGTACTCAAACCAGTGTGCGGCCAAGCAAGCTAGATCAAATATGGGATCAAGAGGCATGTTTACTGTACTTAATCCTCTATTATTCCAGCAAAGTTCTTGTGGTAAGATCTTGACATACTTTTTGAACAGTGTGTGGGAAAAACTATGCTCCGGTCAAGTATAAATTACAATCTGTGACTATCACGGACATTATTGCTAGTTGACAGACGTTAATGGAGTACAAGCTTTGGTTGTAGAAAATGTGCATAAGAAGTGGAGGTGGTCATAAACATTTTGCAGTAATTTTATGATTTTTGCATGGAGTAGACCTGTTGCACTTGATCAGATACACTATGAAGTAATTACCAAGGCTTGAGCAATTTGGCATTTGGATTGCGATTGAACTGAAGATTGCCAAAAAGACTACTAAAATGTTAAAGTTAAAGATGCCTGTAAAAGACTCTTCTAAGTCTATTAAACCTATATGGTAATAGCGACACTTTAATGTACGTTCCTTAAACTGGGCTGGTTGAAGGCAATACATTCAAAACCTTTATGTAGTTCAGTGTAGTATAGAAAGAATTAATTATTACTGAGCAATTCAAAAATTGTCATGAGTATATGATTTTAAAAAAATTTCAAAAATACAAATAGTTTACCAAGGAACATTGATCTGTAAACTGGTATCACAGAGAGTCTCTGTTACGATGTGGTTCCTCTCAAAACCACACATCGCAGGCATCACACCGTGTCTCACTCTCTGTTCTGCGCAGGTTGTGGTCAGCCATCCCCTACAGACTTATTATCCGGATGGTACTTGGTACATGAAAGGCTGCTCTGAGCAAGTACAGATATGGTTCCTCTCAAAACCACACATCGTAGGCATCACAGTATGTCTCACTCTCTGTTCTGCGCAGGTTGTGGTCAGCCGTCTCCCGCAGACTATGATCCGGATGTGGTTCCTCACAAGACTACATATCTTAGGTATCACAGAATGTCTCACTTTCCGTTCTATGCAGGTTGTGGTCAGCCGTCTCCCGCAGACTATGATCCGGATGTGGTTCCTCACAAGACTACATATCTTAGGTATCACAGAATGTCTCACTTTCCGTTCTATGCAGGTTGTGGTCAGCCGTCTCCCGCAGACTATGATCCGGATGTGGTTCCTCACAAGACTACATATCTTAGGTATCACAGAATGTCTCACTTTCCGTTCTATGCAGGTTGTGGTCAGCCGTCTCCCGCAGATTATGATCCGGATGTGGTTCCTCACAAGACTACATATCTTAGGTATCACAGAATGTCTCACTTTCCGTTCTATGCAGGTTGTGGTCAGCCGTCTCCCGCAGATTATGATCCGGATGTGGTTCCTCACAAGACTACATATCTTAGGCATCACAGAATGTCTCACTCTCTGTTCTGTGCAGGTTGTGGTCAGCCGTCTCCCGCAGATTATGATCCGGATGTGGTTCCTCACAAGACTACATATCTTAGGTATCACAGAATGTCTCACTTTCCGTTCTATGCAGGTTGTGGTCAGCCGTCTCCCGCAGATTATGATCCGGATGTGGTTCCTCACAAGACTACATATCTTAGGCATCACAGAATGTCTCACTCTCTGTTCTGTGCAGGTTGTGGTCAGCCGTCTCCCGCAGACTATGATCCGGATGGTACTTGGTACATGACGGGCTGCTCTGAGCAAGTGCAGATGTGGTTCCTCACAAGACTACACATTGTAGGCATTGTTGGGCTAGTTATTTCATTCATCCAGGTACTTGTTACAATTTTCATTTACTTAGGTACTTAAAATTATAAAGACGACTTATTCATCCTGTTGTAGAATTCGAAGCCTGTTTAGGGGTGTTACCTACCTTTGATTTTTGATATAACTTTAGTTTTCAAAAGTCAATGGTGTTTCATGTATAATAGTATGTTGATCTCAACTAAATGTTTCTGTGATTTTGGAGTAATTTTTACTGGATGCACCTTATTTAGTTGAGATAGCAGAGAATAAACAGGTTTCCAGATAGTGTTTTATGTTTTTAAAAAAGTACTATTGAAAAAATAGTGGGAAAGTGTTTCAACTTTAATTTGTTTTCTCCAGCAGTATACAGTACCACCGGTAGTTTTTTTCTGCAAATCAGATTGGCAAACATCTGCCTTGCCGATGATATATACGGAAAAAGGCTAACCAAAAATGTGCTTACTAGGTAGGTATTGCCTCCTAGCAGATATGACAACACACAAAGTTTTGTGTAATAAATGTGTTTTTGGGCCAGTTATGGTGGGTCTTGATCCAGTCATTGGAGTATTATGGTGGTCAGTATAGCTGTAGCCATCTGAGAATCAGAGACAACTAACGTAAGATTAATCTGAGCTGCCTTGCAAAAGACAGTGACCAGTACTACAGCTGGCATTGTATTTAAACAACCAGTTCATGCTTGCTCCTATACCAAAGGGTTGCCTCTGTTACCAGTCTTAAATACAACTTGTGTCTGTTCAAATAGGCCTATATGTTCCTCTTTTAATGTAACACTAGTGTACATGTTGCTCGAATTCGAGCAATTGCAAAGTGTTACAGGATTTATTTCATGACGAAATACAGTCATATTTACAATGATTTTAAAAGAGTCAACTCAAAGATTACCGGTGTGTAGGCTAACTCAGACCATGTTTATCTTCGTTATTGATAAACCTAAAGCATTCCGGCCGGGTTTCTCCTTCTCAAAATACATCGCTGTACATTCAACACACATTGATAGAGGGCCAATTGGGAACGAAAAGTCGTTTTGGGATAGTGTTAGGGTGCATCTGTAACCTAATAGTTGAGATTGTCCAGGGTCAGGTGCAGACTGTGATGAGTTAAGCCTATTACGCGCCACTGTTCTGTAGCTGCGGTCGTTATCATGATTACGCCTACTGTCTATGTTTCGTTGTCGTCGCGTCGGAGGCATTTAAAAGAAAAAAAAACAACAAATAAACAAATTATAGCTACACAAAACAACGATAACTGCACAAATTTAAGTTACAATCATGCTAACACGATCCATCATAGCGACACAAAACAACGATAAATACACATATTAAAGATACAACCCAACAACCATACTAACACGATCCATATTATGTTATGTGGGGATTATGTTAAAAAAAAACTCAAATAGTAAATAAACGTACTCAATGCGTTTCATTGAATTGAAAAATAAATAACAGCAGTTAAATTATACAGCTGATCAAAATGTAAACAATTATGTTCTTCATAAGGATAACATGGGAACTTTCAAAGCCACTGGGGCAGGGCCCAAGGGACTTTTTCAAAACTGTAAGGCCAGTTTGCAAATCTAAGCGACACGCTCTTTCCAATGAGACGTCAATGGATAAAATCGGTTAAGAAATGGCGGAGGAGTTCAACGGACAAAGTTTCATGTAGCGTAATTATATAGATACACATTGATTTATACAAACATTTGTTACAGCTCTTTGGACTGATTTCATCAATGCTACTATTCTGCACAGTTCGACACAAGCGGACTTCTCACACTTACAAGTCTTACGACACGACCTCCTGACTACTGGACAGGGATTCACAGTCGATCCCTCTCTAACAGTTTGGCTGATGAATCCCATCAATAACAAGACAATATTGGTGCTAACCAGTTGTATACTACCCAGTGGTGTACCTACCGATGATAAAAAGCAGTATTTTATGTTACATCACAGACTTAGTTGTAAATAATTTAATGCCAATGTTAATGTTTTATATTACAGTATTTTATATGTAAATAACAATTTAGTTTAGCATATTTTAACGATATGCAAATGTTAAATTAGTGTTTTATTTTCCTTGATTATTAATTTTGTATAATATACACATAACATACATACATAACAGCATTGACTATTGGATACTAACAGTTATAGCTTTATTGATTACCAGTAATATGTGTCAAACTAAACAAAAATGCAATGAACATTTTGTAGAAGGAACTGTTAAAAGCAAAATTTCAAATGGCCCCAAAAATTGATTTTGGTGGTATAAGTTACAAAACTAAACTCAATTACCCACCATCCATATGAAGATTTTTCAAGATATGAATGAAGTAAACACTCTAAGTCTAGTTAAATTAAAGCTAGGTTTTCCTAGGCGCAGAAGCGGAGAGCGGAGAGCAGAGTGAGGAACGCGGAGTGCGGAAAAGAGATTAACATGGTGTTTCGCTCCGCTTCTAGGAAAAAAGTAACATTGGCTAAGACAAGTAGAGTCCGCTCTCCGCGTTCCTCTCTTCGCTCTCCACTTCTGTGCCTAGGAAAACCCGGCTTACGTTAGTATTCAAAGTGTTCAAAGTATTCAAGTTAGTAGTAGTTCAAAGTATTTTCAAGAGTTTACTTAACAAAAACATTCTAATGGAAATTTTGGTAACAGCTTTTAACTGTTATTTATCTTCTTATAAATCCAGCCACATTACATTTGTTCTCATTGGCTGGTTTTGTTGGTTGGATTTTTAGATTTAGATTTCTTGTACTCTCATGAAACCTGAGATTGTATTTCAACTGATGATTGAAACCAATTTTTACAAGATAATGGAAGGCCATTGAATTCATCCTGTTTCATACTAACTTCTTCATCTGAGGTATTACTTGATTCACAAGATTGACAATGAAGAGTCCATCATTCCACTCACCTGGCCCTACTAATGTTCTATTTCTATACAATTAGCATATTTTAATGTCAGGGAACCCTGGTCTTGTTACTATCTAACATAGACTTTTGATAGAAACTGGACCCAGCTGTTCATGATCATTTGGGCTTTAAATAAATGATCCTGACTAATGAAACCGCCGATCTTAGTCAGTAACAAAGCTACACAGGTCAACACACATTATTTCAATGTATACCAAGCCTGGAGTGACAGTCCCTGGCAAATTAGGTTTGGGAACATCGGTTGCAGCAGTTGCGCGACTGTCCCTTGACTGTTTCCTTAGTGTGCGCACTTCAATAAAAAAAAATGCTGAACATTTTGGTCGGCCAACTGTTGCTAGACTCAAAGCCGCCTGTGTGCACCTGGCCTAAGTTTAGATTTTGGACTTGGTTATCAAGTTAAAAGAAAAATAGCATCACCCAGCTTGAATTTATTCAGATATCAACCATCCGCCCTTATGGCTACAGAAGGTGTGTAAGTAAAATAACCAAACATTCAATTTTTGTAGTTTTTATTTCATTTATGGTTTTATATAACTCATAGTAACAAAATTATCACAATATGAACACCAAATTTAGATTTTAATGAATCTATTTAAATTACTTGATTATAAAAGTTTAGAACATTTACAATATTTGAATTGACATAATTTATTATAAAAAATATTAAATAGGTACACACTATTTTTACCAGTTAATACTTTCTCTCAATAAGTGTATCATTTTTGTAGCCCAACTATTTTCCCTCCAATATTGTCTAGAACCTCTGTTAACTTCGTTGATCCCCTTTTTGCAATCTCTTCTGGCACCTACAAACAGTTAACTTTTTGATAACACAGCAATATATAAATTAATAACTCAGGAATCTAGGTGGGAATATGATTGTGATTAGGAGTTTATTTGATTACCATATGTCTTCTGTCTTCCAATACACTTGATCACTCTATTCTCATGCACCACTCAGATCTCATGCACAAAACAAAACCTCTTAAAAATAGTTTCACAGTACCAAAGCCTGCAAAATAAAATATTTTTGAAAGGTTTTGTTGAATGTTCCCTATTTTTCCGGTGGCAACCCTACTCCAGCCCTAGTCAGAAGTAATGTGTAAAACTGTTAATTGTAATAATGTGTAGTATGTGAAGATGATAGGAAATAAAAAAAACCCTATGAAACTATTCTTATAGAATTGCAATGGTTCTAAAAATATCAGGTTGAATGGTGATTTATAAACAGATTAAACCATACTTACCCTGAAAGCTGAGTTTACAAGGTTAGAAACTCCCTCAACAGCCTTCACCACTTTTTTCCCAATGTTATGTTCCATTCTGTTACCATACTTTTCTTCTTCAGTGATGGTGTCTAGTATGGGTTTTGGCTGCAATATAATAAAGCAGAAATTAACATATTGGTTTGTTATGAAACATTGTAGTACTAGCAAGACTATATATAAATACCCCCGCCGCAGCAAACCTGCCGTCTAAGCGAATTTCCATTTGGCCGAATTGATTTTCAATTGATCTATTTAAATAACATTAGGTTTAACGAGTACCTTGGTTTGCTGCTACAAGGAAACTAATAAAGTAGTGTGTTTTTAGTAAAATATTGATAGCTTACTATAAAATAAATAAATTTGCCAAGTTTGATCAAAATATATCCATAAACAAACAAACTACAACATTTTACAATATTCTCCATAAGAATAACATGGGAATTTTAAATTTACTATTTTTTTAGTTTTCTCTGTAAACAATAACCGTACAAAAACACTTTGATATACTGAATTGTTTGTTTTTTTAAGCTCTTTAAGAAGGTTTAGAGAAAAATTGGGAAATTTTGTGTTTTGAGGGTAAAAAGTGAGAAAAACCAATTTTTACCCCATAAAACCCCCCATAAAACCCTGTTCCTATGGTCCGATCATGCTGGATCGCGAACTCATTCAAGTTTATCCCGCCTTACACCTTCAAACCAAATTTCATCAAAATCGGATAAAAATTACTCAAGTTATCGTTTTCACGGACACATATATATATATATAAATCTATATATATATATATATACATATATAAAAATTTGAACGGATGGTGTTTTTGGCCTCTGGGGACATTAAAATGAAAAAGTAAATCGGTCCCGGGCCTAAGTCTTACCATGAGACCTACGGTAATAGCTACTTCCCTATAGGGAAATTCGCTAAAAGGGTGATAATTTGAAATCTTTGAACTTCATTGATGGTTAGAATTATAAATGATAATATGGGTTGCTATTCATAACATTGGTGGGTTAACGGTGAATGTTCTTTTACTCATATGGTCCATACATAATTTACTCAGACAATAGTAGCTTTGACTCTCTATACTGTATACAGTACCACCATAGACTAAGCAACACAACTAAGGGAGTATGTTTTATCTATGGTACCACCTATTGTTAAAAAGGACAAATAAATCATATAATCCAGCTTTTATAATCCAGGTATTAAACCAGACAAACATTGTATATGTAATTTAAGCTGAATATTAATTTAATTAGGGTGAGTTTAGAACGCTTTTATCCTGACTGAGATTAACACTCTGCTTCTATAGTCAGTACACAGACAAATTAAATAAGATATAATATCTAAAATTACAGATATGTCTATCTATAAGGACCATTTAAAAAAACATACCTTCCTCTAATTAGTACATGTCCGCTCTGCTGCTAACCCCTTAAGGCCCAAATTCCTAGCTGCCGAGTGGTTCTACCATTTTACGCAGTGATTTTAATCACTTAACCAATACACAGGATTGGGTGCAGTAGTTTTCCTAGCTGCTGAATTACGCAGCGACTGCATGTTTAAGTGGGCTGTGGGAAGCGCAACTGCTCCAAGAGCAGTCAGTCTCAGACCCGCATCTCGCTGCGAGATAAACACTTTTTTCGCATTCTCATGTTTGCATGTGGAGTTCGTCAGTTGAAACTGATCTCTTCACCCGATCCATGGTCTACTACATATTACTGTATCAATATATACGTGAACTGTTGGATGTTTTACTTTTGAACTCTTCTTCAATGAAACTATCATAAAAAACTGTTTACTTGTAAACTGGAAATATGGTTGGACTTAGTTTCGTCCTCCAACAGGTTCTGGTAATTATCAGCTGAAATACACCTTCCTTCTCCTGAGTAGTAAATACATTACTAGATTTTTGTCGTAAGGAGTAGTTACGTTTGATAAGAAGGTCAGTTAGTGTCCAAGTCTTCAATAAGTGGACAGAACTGAACAGCACAAATCTTTCTTCTTCTCTTAAATTTACTTAGCACAGATATTGCATCTACTACCACCCTCCATGTTATCTAACTACAGTAGACTCCCTCTTATCCGGACACCTTTTAACCAGACTACACTTGGCGGAAATGACATCTCTTTAACCAGACAATTTTTATCAGCACATTAATTTAACCGGACTAGATCGGCAGGAAGTGGGCGGTACCATTGAGTATAAACGACACACGACGGTACATTGAGGGTACTGAAACGACAGTTCTCGTGGGAAAGATTTGAGACCAGTGAACACGTCTCTAAATACAATGCTCTCCTAAATTTAAGTTGAATATCACAGTTAACAGTCCAATTTAACGAGTTTTTGGGGACGCCGGTTTAACCAGAAAACCCGTTATCCGTTGGGGCCTCGGTCCCGAGGAGTCCGGTTAAGAGGGAGTCTACTGTACCACATGTACACACCCACTCCACACTGAATATGGCAGTTCTAGGAAAACGCTCATGACAAAAAACGCATAAGATAAGATTATAGTATAGTGTGATATTTAAAACCCCGCAACCAAATTTGGCAGTGTTTTACTGCAGCTAGGAAATCGAGCCTTTAAAATTTATCCGTACAGTTCATTCTTATATAATATTGCCCAAGCTTTGCATCACTAGATCAGTCCCACACTAAGGCATTTGAGACCCATTTGTAGGAAATTCAAGCTTTAAAAACACTACCTATTAAACAAAAAAATTAGTGAACTTGAAAACCTTTACCTAGTAAATAATAAGCCTCGATTCTAGTTGAAGCAATGCAAAAATCTGTGGGCACTACGTCCAAATCCTATTATATGTATCCTATTTAATCCTATGTATTTTTTGTATTTTATCCTAATGTAATCCTAATTTATTATATGTATTGCTGCTACATACATATAATAAAAGACTCACATGAAGAGCATCTATGAGTCTTCGCTGGATGAGGTTAAATCCAAACCCTTCCTTGGTCTCCACAATGACATCGACGGGTGACTTCTGAGGCATCTCAGCCCTCTCGGACGGATGACTGGCACCTCGGCCAATCAGGTGAAGAGCAATCAGAGCGGTTGTCAGATAGAGGTACATGATCCTGCGGCAACAGACACACAATTTAGAATATTTGTTGTATATTTCGGATGAAAATCTGTGGACAAGAGTTTTAAAGTGGGGGGCTATTGGTGGATGGATCAAACCAATCATCAGAATAAAATTAAGGAATCTCTCTTGTCAAAGAATATCTTACAAAAAAGTTCAGAATCCAGAAGACTACCAGGTAACCAAGTAGAAGATGGCAGGGCCTGCTGGAACAAGAACCTAGAAGAATGTGAAGAAGAGTAGAAGATGAGTTCAACAGGACTGGAGGCAAAGTTTTGTTGACATGGCTAAAAATACCAAAACTACAGAAAGTATACACGTACTAGAGTGGACACACAATGGGGGGCTTCCATTACCTGAACAGCGCTGTTGAAGAGTAGCGTCAGTGGCCCAATCTACGCCATCTCGGGCATGTCGGTAAGTCTGTTTTTTTTTTATTTTGCGTTTATTGTAGGTTGTAAAATGTTTTTGTTGATGAAATTAGTTTGTTTGGTCGTAGTTTTGTTGTTTTATAATGCATTTTTAATACTAAATGATTTGAAGGTGCTCAGAGGCGCACCACACTACTAATCGACTACCTCACCTGTGTACCTGTGGCCCAAACTACGTCACCAAAATCGATAACCACTATTAGCATTATCTGTTCCCTCATCTTATGTATATTCAGTGATAATAGTCACCTATTGTAGTTAATGGGGATCAGATTGCCTGCCTGACTGACATTGAAAAAGACTGTTTTCGGTTTACATTCATTACAAGTAGATTGTGTAGGTAAGTTAATCTTCTAATACTACATAGATAAGAATAAGAATCCTTTATTGCCACTACATACTCAATGAAATAGACAATGTCAGAACAAATTCCATTTTTCTATGGATTAAGTCTAGTGTATTGATAGAAATGAAATTACAACTCAAGAATATAACAAAAAAACTGTATATCAGATATTTGATAACCTAAAAACCCTTATTAAAAAAATTTAAACTTCTTTCAAGAAGTCAATCAGCCAATATATTTTTAAATTTAACAAAGTTAAGCTCTTGAAACAGTACTGGTAGCTTATAAAAGAGCTGTATTTTGAGATATTTGAGGCTATTAGTAGATTTTGATAATCTTACCATCGGAATATCTAGTTGGTTACATTTATAACTGTGAAATTTATTACGTTTTGGGAATGAAGACAAATTTGATAAATGACTATACATGGTAGAGTTATTATTCTATGTTTGATAAAGAGAGGTTTGATGGTCGTTCTGCTTAGAGTATCAAAGAGTATTCTTAGTGCTTTACTCTACCTCGTGAAAACCTTCCTGGCCCCAGAGCTATTACCCCAAAAAATGTTTTCATTTAGAAGATGGGAGTGAAAGGAACTGTAATATGGAGTAATGAGCATACTATTCGAGTCACAACTCTTAAGCCTTCTCAACAAAAAGCAGACACGAGAGATCTTAGAAACAACATGAGTAGCCTGGTGTACCCAGATGAGCTTTGAATTCACACGGATGCCTAAAATTTTTACTGATATCGAGATATTTGAACTTTCGATGTGTTTTAGTGAAAAGCAAACCCGCTCAGTTTTCTCATGATTTAAGGTAAGACAGTTTGCATTAAACCAATCAGAAGAGATAGTAATTGGGTTTTTGACTGTGGCTTGGACTCAGTAAAACTACTACTTGAGGAAAAGAAAGTGGTATCATCGGCATATAAGAGTGATTGACAAGATAAGTTATACTACGTTAGTCATTATAGGAACAGAATATAGGCCCTTAAAATGATCCTTACAGGACTCCAGCCACAGTTTCAAAAAATATGAAGAGTTATTTCCCACAACCACCTGTCAAAACCTGCCATGTAGATATGAATTGAAAAAATGTAGCTCATTGTTCTGGATTCCATTGTATTTTAATTTTTCCAAATTAATTTGGTGTGTCTGTACTATCAAAAGCTATACTAAGATCCATTAATGCTATATTAAAATGTTTGTTAACTTCAAAAGACTTCGAGAACTCCGAAATCAGTTTGTCAACTGCCTTTATTGTTGACAAACCTGAAACCAAATTAAGCTGGGTTTAGAATTTCGTACTAATCAGGATGGCTGTAGAGCTGAATTTAACATGATGTTCAATATACAACATGATAGTACAGATACTCCTAGAGGTAATGCCCTAATTACTTTAACTTTCATTCAATACCTTACTGCAAAAATATTATAGCTAGAGCCCAGGACTACAAACTTAATACCATTATGATACTCCTTTTAGCTGTATTATACCAAAAAATTGGGTTGATGAACGTTGCTAATCCCAAAATCCAAGTCTGATGCTAAAAAACCTAACCAACTATGTGTACTTCCACAAACTTTAAAGAATGTTTTAAAATAGTTATCCCATTAGAGAATAAATTACTGTCCCAATAAATTTAATTGAAAATCAATTCAGACAAATGAAAATTTGCTTTGTCTGTAGGTTTGCTGAAGCGGGGGTATTCCTTTTCTAGGGTATGGATTTTAACCTTCTAGTATAAACTTAACTTGGTCTACCTAGCAACAAGGTATAAAAATAGGAATTTCAAAAGGTTTTTGAAAAAAGTACTGTATATTAATTAAATCATGTTTACTTACGAAATTGTGTGTCTGCACTCAATCTAAGATGCTCAAAGAATCCTGTGGTCCTGACATGATCATTTTTAAGTCATGCAACAGAAATGATTAACTTAAGTGACTAGCTAACAAAGCAGTTGTAATGAGAAAGCGTCAAATTAAAAATATGCTACATCACAACTAATCACAACCAACCAGTAAAAGTGATATGGCCAAATTGTATTCTCACATATAAAAAGTGGGATTAACAACCAGTTTTAGAAAGGTTGGTTCTGAGAAATTTTTAATGGAGTACTTCATTAATAATTATGGATGTCAATTAAACACCAAAAATACTGCTTACTTGGCAGATGGAGTTAAGTCACTTTATTATTTGAAATCCTATGGTCTACGTGCTGTGCTCGATCTGTGGCGAAAGTATTCCAGTACTGTACTTCTCTTTCGGAAAGATAATAATATTGGCATAAATAGGTACTAATCACATTAAATAGGTTACAGTTCCGACACCTAATTTTGTACAAATCGATTATGTGTATTAAAAAATATTACTTTTAATATTAGTAAACAGTTGACTTTGTAGATTTTTCTATCATATTTTGGTATCATCAGAAAATAATATATAAGATACTGAAAATAGGACAAAATATAATTTTTTTGTAAGAAATAAGAAAGATTAAACTAATAAGACTAAATTGATTAGAGCAAAATAATCTCTTGATAATTGAGAAATCTTTGCATAATCAGTAAACAACTCTCAGTCTCAACTAAAACTCCAACACAAATCTGCAAGTTTTCCAAATAAATTATCCGAATGTAAAATAATGAGTATGTTGAGATTGTAAAAAAAATACTGATAAATCTTAATGTTTCTATAAGTGTGTATAGGTGCAAACCATTCCAGAAATACTTAAAAACACTACCTATACCCTCTGTCTCATAATTTCAAGCTATTAAGTTATGTTGAATCTGAAACTGTATATGGTGACTACAAAGCCTACTCTGATTAAAATATGGATTGTGAAAGATGAACACATTAGGATACTTACAGTAGACGACAATGTTTCTCCCTCTCTCCCACCTGTGATGAGAAAGTGAGAAAGTTGTTGTCCAATGTTACTCAATCACTAGTCCTTGTCCATGTACAGTGCCACTACTGTTACCTTTTTGTGTATAGGGAAATTCTCATTCAGCAAATTTTCAAAACAGGCAATTTAAATTTTTATCTGCATTTACATCTGGAAAAGATTTCTACAACACAAGAAGAATAGATAATACCACCGCCGCAGCAAACCTGCAGACTAAGCAAATTTCAACTTCAGACATTTTTACTAAAATATTTCCATAAATAATACATATTTATTATTAATTTAAATAACATTAGATTTAACGAGTGCTTAGGTTTGCTGCTACGGGGAAGGTAAGACGTGTTTTTTGACGATACTTCAATAGTATAGGATGAAATAAATAAATTTGCTAAATTTTATCAACATATATCCATAAACAAGTAAACTACATAATTTTTTAATTTCTCCATAAGAATAACATGGGAATTTAAAATCTCTATAAAATGGTTGCAAAAGAAATTAGAAAATTTTATGTTTTTAGGGTCAAAAATGGGAAAACCCCATTTTTACCCCATAAAACCCCCCATAAACCCCAATTCCCATGGTCCGATCAACCGAACTCGTTCAAATAAATGTAGGTTTACACGTTTATACCGAATTTCATCAAAATCAGATAATTTTTGTTAGAGTTATTGTGCTAACGGACATATATATATATATATATATATATATATATGAATTTGAACGGATGGTGTTTTTGGCCTCTGGGGACCTCAAAACGAAAAAGTAAATCGGTCCCGGGTCCAGGTCTGACGATGAGACCTACGGTAATAGCTTATTCCCTATAAGGGAAATTCGCTAATTTGATTGTTAGACTGTTAGAACACCCAAGGGCAACAAAGAGATTTTTAAACATCCGTTTTTATTTCTAGATCCTTTCATCTATTATCAATCACCAATTGAAATAAAAACATGCAACTCTATTAACCTATTTTCAAATAAAGTTAAAGATTGGTTATTGAAAATTGTGGATACTTGGCGTCTCAGGAATATTTTGCAAAAGGCTGTTTGAATTTTCCCATTGTAAAGTGTATAAAAGTATGTTATTTTAAGTAATATTTTAGTAATATATTTAAATTCTGTTACGTAATAAGTTAAAGTTAAGTTTTGATTTTTAAGAAAATGAAATCGTCACAGGCAGCAGCGACCTTGTAATCAGTTAAGTGGAAGACTAGACTCACTGATAAGTCACTAATAAGTTTCTTTGTACACTGACCTCAAGTACTGGATAAAGTGGCCACTTAATTTCCAAGTCATTTTTGTATTCATTTTGTGTTTTTATTGGAGGAAATAAATTCATTATTTCATATATTATTTTTATGTAACATGCAACAAAATAGAATTTTACCTGTCAATATATGTCAGAGGAATATAGTAGTTTCTATTTGCAAGAAAAAATATTTTCGTTCAATATGTAAAGTTTTCACGCTACTTAGGCTTAAAAGGTTTTGATTTTTACATACTGTAATTTTAAAACCGCCTCACTTAAAACAACGCAAGCTGCTCAACAGTTATGTAGTCTGTGTAGTATTGCGGGCGCAACGTCTTTCATTTTGCATTAAATTCACACACTTTTAAATATATTTTTTACTGTAAAAAAACTACTCACCACATAGGCTTATTCATATCAGGTTTACGATACACGTTGGCTGTAAAACGACGTTTCTCTTATCTTGGATAACGTATTAAATTGGAGCCTTTTTAAACCACTCGCTGGATTGAAGTGTATAGTTTTATTTCTTTCAAATAGATTATTTTTATTTTTAGCAAGGTTAGTTAGGTCAACCAAGTTGTTCCTCTAAAATGGTAAAATAAAAAAAAAACTTAGGAAGAAATCTTTTAAACCCTTAAATTAACCACGTATTTAGTTTTGAGTAGTGACTTTTAATACTAACTATTAGAAGGAAATAGTTTCGGCCATAATTTACAAAAATAACTCAGTGACTTAAATCTCTTCATTAAAATTTAAAATTAAAAACAAATTATTCTATTCTAAGCTAAGGCTAAGTTTTGACATGTGGTGACAAAAATAGTAGTCAATGAGAGTGCTAAAGCAACTATCTAATTTAGAGCACAAGTATAAATAACTGTATCACCAACTTATTTTCCTACAAATAGGCTATTTTAGCCTAGTATTTATTTGCAGTTTTTAGTTTGACATTGTTAACAAGTTGGTTCATACGACCTTCGGTATATGTATATAAAACTTGCATGTAGGTTCCATTGAATGGATTGAATAAAGTAGTTTTTCAATTTAACATTGGAAAATCTATACTATTATACAAAAATCTAATGGTGTCTGTCTGTATGTCTATTAGTAATAGGCGCAAAAACTACTGAACCGACTAGGCTTGAATTTTACAAAGATAGCTACCAAACCGAGGATAGGACTATTCACAATTCGATACTGACCGTGGGCTTTACCCCTTTGACTTTAAAAGAGGATTTTAAAAGTAAATATTGATTGGTCTCCATGACTGCAATGAAAGTAGGCCTACTCACAATTTACATTTGCTTTGACATTTCATTGTAAACAAGGAGAACTGCCAAATTATTGCATATTTCACGATTTCAGACAGCTGGTCCAAAGAAATTTAAGGCTCGTGCCTTAAATTTTCTACTCGGGTCGCAAAGACTATTAATACGAGTTGCGTACACTACTTTACCTACGACCGTTTTTTAATTACTAAAAATCTGGTTTTTTATTATACTCATAACTTCCTATAGAGGTTATGTTTTCGTTTATTGTCATTGTCACTGAAAGTGATGCAACGACTTATTGTATAATCAGCTGATTTCATGTAATTACGTGTTTGTAAAACTTTGTTAAATAATACGTTACTTTTTCAGGCAATAGGTTCTGCTAGCAGCATTCTTACCATAAATACTGTATCAGGTACAATTAGGGAACTATTGCATATATTTTTGGACAACTGAATAATATAGTGAAATAGTTAATTTACAGTTAGATCTCAGCATCGAATATGTGGTCCACAACGAGTTGGGTGAAAAAGTGGTTAAGATGTTTTCAGAATAAACCAGAAGAACATTTTCATTTATCAATTTAGCCTTATTTTGTTTCGTCCATTTAATGAATTGCTGGTATGTAATTGCATATGGTACCTTTGTTTTGATTTTGGTGGCAAAAGATTAGCACAAACAGTTTGTGCTCTCATTTCTATCTCGTCAACATCACTTTCACTAACTGATATTTTAAAATCAACCTTCATTTAACTTCCACCAACTTAGGTTAAGAATACGCGAGTATCAACAGGAACAAGCCGGATCAACAATTAAAATTGTCAGCTGATCAGCTGATTAGTTGACGTTCGAAGTATTACAATTACACATCTACGTGGTAGATTCATTTAATCTAAAACTTCATCATATTACAGTATTATTATCATAATTTACTATCATACTATCTTACTATCATATTTTATTATATTTTATTTATTCTAAAACTATGTCATTGATTATAGAAATAAAAGAAAGTGTCAATTTTTTAAAATGTATAAGTTATGAAAAATAATGTTTTTTTTAATATAATTTAAAGGAAACAGTATGGAAATTACCATGTATAGATGTTTTGTATGAATTTGGAGGTTTTTTTTAATTCGAACTGCTTAACATGTGTTGGATTAACTTAACATAGATTTATTGATTTATAAGCATATGTGAAGCACTTCACATTGATTTATTTTACATTTAGGTAAATTTAGAACAGTAGTTGATTTTTGCTACACCTATCATTAAATTAAACTAAAGATTATCGTAATTGATAAATTTATTATTTGTGTTTCGCTACACCACTGATTAAATTAAACCAAGGAAAATATCACAAAACTAAGCTGTACACTGTGTTCTTTTGTTTCTAAAATCTGTGAAATATCTGTTACTATGTTTACTTAATGGTAAGTGTGAAAATTTAAAGGCAATGGACTATGGTACTGATTAAAAGAACTGGTTTGTATATTATGTTGTTTCTTGATATTTTTGTAGAGTAAAATCAGAAATGCAATGCAAATATACATATATTGTATTTACTATAATTTTTTTTTACTCTTTGATGTTTTGATAATCATATTAGTTTTGTCTGCCATTTTTAATGCTCAATTTTATTTGTAAATTAAATAATATTTACTAAAGATATAAAAAATAAAGTGTTCCTTATTATTTCTAAAAAAAAAAAAATCTTATTGGCATTTACTACTTATACGAGCTAAATTAATAATTTGCAGGTTTTTATAGTATGGATATCGTTTCTTAAACATTTCAAAATACTATTGATGAGGCACAACAATATTTCTAAAGTTTATTTCATCTGATGTTAGTGTGTCTGATGATTTATTGTGAGTGAAGATGGAGGAATTTGTGATATAAGATTGACCTAAAAAAATATCATTTAAATTTAATAATAAGAAGATTTGAAACTTCAAACTGAAATTTAAAATGTCAAAAATAAAGAAAAAATATATATGCCCATAAGTGAGATGAAGGTAAATCATGTTTGTGGAAATGTTATTCGAATATTTGGTATTTGTTTCTCATATCAGCCTACACATGATTTAAAATTAATCAAAACCAAAATTGTGGTTTCCACTAGTTAGCAGATTTAAAAGCCACAAACATTTCTATAAAGGCCATAAAGGTTGAATTTTGTTTCTAAAAGCGTAGGCGAATGAGTAACTATTTTAAAGAACAGATGTAAAAATGCTATAAAGATCCAAAATTTCTATTAGATTTAATGCTGCTGTTTCTTCTTATAGAGGTTTCTCCTCGCTCCAAGGTTTCTCCAAACAATGACTGAGGAAAAAGGAGGGATGGGTGGGGGTTTCATGTTGAGACAAGCTTCTGTTTGTTTTGAAAACTACGTACTATGGAGGTTAAGATTATGATAAATTCGTCTTATAGAGGTCACGTTCGTCTTGTAGAGGTTTTGTGCTAAGAATATTCGTTGTATAGAGGTTAATCAGTCCTAGCCCATGTCACAAACAAATTCGTTTTATGGAGGTTTTTAACTTAATTACTACGTTGTATAGAGGTGTTTTTAGCATTGACCTATATGAAAGTGTCAAGGGGATTAAAAAAAAATCGTCTTATCGAGGAATTCGTTTTATCGAGGCTCGTACAAACGAGGTTCAACTGTATACTGTTCTATAATCCTAGAAAACTTAAGTTATGTCAGGGTGATGGCAAAGAAGAACGAAAAACAGGCTACGTCCAAATTCACCAACATTTTTGGGGTCGTTTCTAATGTCCAAATTCACCAACTTTCTACCTGGAGCAGGTACGATATTTCTCCCGGCGGGCGGGGAAGGAATTCCGAATAGTTTGCCCTCGCCTGCTCCGTCTCGTCTCGGCGAGAGTGTACTGCAAGACCTACTGATAGCCCTAATAGTACTGTTTAAGCTGTAATTGTTTCAGGCAGCTTTAGGTTAGGTTAGGTTTGGTTAGGTTTGGTTAGGTTTGGTTAGGTTAGGTTAGGTTAAGTTAGGTTAGGTTAGGTTAAGTTAGGTTAGGTTAGGTTACAGTACACTCTCGCCGAGACGAGACGGAGCAGGCGATGGCAAACTATTCGGAGGGAATTCCTTCCCCGCCCGCCGGAAGAAATATCGTACCTGCTAAAGGTAGAAAGTTGGTGAATTTGGACATTAGAAACGACCCCAAAAATGTTGGTGAATTTGGGCCTGGCCGAAAAACAAGTAAAACAAAGATGGGCATACCCAAAATTCAAACAGCTGAGTAACAATGGTAACATATTGAAAAATGCCGTTAAAAGCCAACAATCTAATTTGTAATCTGATTTTTTTTATTATTTAAGTAATAGCGAGTAGTAAGTTGCACTGGAAACAAAACTTACACAATCATTTCATCATAAGGTGAAACAATAGGAAGTTAACATGTTTCAACTCTGAAAGAAGGCTAGTATTGCGTAGTACATTCATTGTCTGAGTTTGAATCTGGTTTTACTTAATGCCACCAAAAAGATTCAAAAACATAAATTGATACGCTTATTAAGTAAACTAAATAAAATAATAAAATAATAATTCATCAAAATACAAAACTAATTAAGTGTTATTTGTTTGAAATTAACGGTACTTTCCTGTTAAAAGGGAACATTCATTATTATCGATGATTTTTTTCGATAAATCGATATTTTTGTTTTCCGATCCATTACAAATTGACAACTGGATCTTGTTTAGGCTAAAATAGACTATTATATGGATTAAGAAATGAAACTGTTAGCAAAACTAACATAAGCAAACCTAACATAACCAACCAAACTTGTTGTAGGTACTATTTAAAAATTCCTTTTAATATCAGAAGAGACAAGGTAAACACGGAATTTTTAAATGTTACACAGCAAGTTTGGTTAGTTATGTTAGGTTATTTTTTAGTAGGCCTGCACAGTTTCATTTTATTATTGTTTGTTGATACTGAACAATATTTATCGTAGTTGTCAGCTGATATGTTTCAATTTGTTAATACCGATATATCGAGAAAAAAATCATCGATAATAATGAATGTTCCCTTTAACAGGAAAGTACCGTTTCAATTTGTTAATACCGATATATCGAAAAAAAATCATCGATAATAATGAATGTTCCCTTTAACAGGAAAGTACCGTTTCAATTTGTTAATACCGATATATCGAGAGAAAAAAATCATCGATAATAATGGATGTTCCCTTTAACAGGAAAGTACCAAATTAACTTCAGGTACTGCTGAGTGTTTGTTATTTGGGACCAATCGAGATGTAAATTAAAATGTAAAATAATCAACCCATATATTTGAACCACTAACCCTAAAAGCTTTTGCAGTACTTTCTCATGAAATGCTTCTAATAAAAAATGTCACCGGTGTAGTCAAGAAAAAATTCCCACAGTTTACTATGCAAAGTAAATCTTATTTGATTCGCATTGATACCATGTGAAGTACGAAATAAATACGGCAATAGCCCAAAATTGAAAGTTTACATACATTATAAGGACTATTAAGCCAAGGACATGAACGAGGTAATTTATTAATAACCAGAAGTATTCGATTTTGAAACTTCCTGCCTGGAACTCATAAAGATAATTAAATTTATCTTCCGAAGGTCAAAAACAAAATAATAATAGTTTGCTATTGATGCAATTAACTATCTTCTTACTTAACTTTTCTTATTACCTCTTTTGTTATCATTGATTTAAACCAGTATCTACTTATAATATTTGCTAAAGTTAAAATTTAACCTTTTCGCGATTTGCTCCAGTATATTACAAGTTTATATAAATAGTGTTGAATTTTAGATCAATTTAGTGCTAGCGAGCTAGTATTTTAGATCAGTTTTGGTGTAGTTGTTAGAGCTTAGGACTTCGGTCCCTGAGGTCCCGGGTTCACAAATGCCACCAAATCACCAATGTATTTTATCTAAGTGACAATGCCGCAATCCATAGGTCTAGCCTGAAGTATTGTAAAACACAATTCCGGCTTGTGCCTAGCATCCTTTGGATATTTAGAATTACTATCAAAGTTTTTAGTAGAAATGTTTAGTTCAAAGCACACACTTTGGAATATAATACTAGTTTCTAAAACGCAAGTGATTTTCCATATGATATTTTTGCTGTAAAATCCCACTTTTTACGCTGACGATTCCATTGCTTGCTCTAGCGTCAATAGTTTTCCCGATGACAGCTGTTACAACAATGAATCTCTCTCTACCAGCTGGTTACATTGTTGAGGCTACCAACGACGGAACGTAACCTCGTCCTTGGTAACGTTCGTCAACGTCAGTCAACGACACGCGAAGCTGTCTGAAAAAGTTGATTATCTCTTGGAAAATAGCCCAGAGGAAGTAATCAAAATACACTTACGCTTGAAAATATACTAAATATTTGTTGCACATTATAAAAAAAATTGCTATTCAAATTTACTAAATAATATGTCTATTTTTTTTTGTTGATATGAAACTGTTTCAACCCCTAACATCTCTTGAAGATATTGATGGCATGTTTGAATGATTGTGCTGTTTCATGCTATCAAAAAGTAAAAATAATATTTGAACGCTTATGGTTAACAAATTATCAATATTCCTATTAACTTTCTTAACAATAAAAAGTGGCATACATTCCAGCATCATAAGTTTAGCTGCTTGATAATGCTATTAGAAAATACTAGCTTGCTTCACAAAAATCGTGAAACACCAAAAAAGTAAAAAAAAAAACTATTTACTGAAAACTCAACTTACCATAAAGTCATAGAACAACAAACCAAACTATCCAGAAGACATTAGGGGGTAAAATGAACGTCTTCTTTGATTGTAACGATCTTGTCTTTTTCTCGTTGATTTATTTTACATTATTTTAGATTGTCTACAATTCATGTCCAACATTTAATTAATGGCTGGCTACAAGATATTTCCTTAAGTCTTAAAGAAACACATACTAAAATGTTAAAATATATAACATCGGCTCGTTGACGGAAGCAAGCGAGGTCTCCAAGGCCAGTAGAAGTTTTATAACGACCAGCGGTCGTCTGCGGGTCTCAGTCTCAGTCCGTGTCTCAGTCCTCTACTGGAAGTGAAAGGAACAGGTGAGTGACGCAGTCTTTGTTTGTGTTTACTTCTGGAAACTATTGCAAGTGTGTGTGACGTATGCTTCCCTGTTGGGAAACTGTAACAATCATATGTTAGGAGATTTATTACTGAGCAATACAAAACAGATTTCTTATGCCAAAGTCTTAAAATTGTCTTGCAGCGGTTTTATATTAGAGTGTGCGGACAGTGAAGGAATCAAAATGTTTGTATCTAATCCTATACTCTTATATGAGCAATGTAAAACTGTGTGTACAAAACCAAAAGTTTTCTTTAATGTATGCTTGTATGTATGCTTGCACAAAGATTTCGTAAACGGCTTCCACGATTTCCTTCAAATGCTGTCAAATTATTATTTATGGCATAAAAACGTGTTTACTGCAGTTAAAACTGCCAAAAATTCCAATTACCGTACGTAAAAAAATGAAATTCAAAGTTAAAAATATATAACATTGGCTTTATGGGTTGCCAAGTAAGTTGGTTGAACAAAATAACAAGGAAACAGTAAACAAAAGACTTGTAACGTGTGTTTATAACAAGCCATCCACAGTATACTAGCAAATTAGAAAATGCAGTACAAAAGGAAAATCATCAATTGTTTTTCAAAGCATCATAATAAAGATTACACTGAAGGTTACTCGATATCTGTAAATAGTTCTGATCAACTACTGATTATTTTACTTGACTCTCCTACCAAAATTTAATTCCCGAAGTACTGAGTAAATTTTTAGCAATCCATTTTTTAACAGTGAAATTAATAATTAATAATATCATATTTCTTTTATGTAAATTGTAATTTTAACAAAAATTTACAATCAGCGGTTTTAATATAAACAGACTGTCAAAAGAACGATTATGCAAGTATAGGCTATTAGTGCTGTTATAAACGAGTGATTTTTACCATCGGCTGTAAAATAAACTAATGTGTTGTAAATTGCCAGGTTAAAATTCTATCTTAAAAAATTAAAATCGACTGAAACTTAAATTATAAAAGCCAAAATTAGTCGTAAATAAAACGTGAGTTTTCTTTATATTGATTGCTTTTAAAATGGAAATCAACTACACCAAGTCATGGTTCCAAGTACTCAATAAAAAAATAACATCGATACATTTTTAGTGTTATTGATTATCGTGAATCGTCTTCTAAAATTAACAATTAGGACAAATATTAATTTTACTTTAATTTGATGTAGGATAGGAGAAACCTCGATTCGATGCTTGTACTTTGAGGGTCAATAATATACAGTCTCAGATCAATAATATATAACTATAAGATTAGTGATGACATAAAATAACATTCGTTTCAGCTTGTATAACACTTTGTTTTAGACTACCAGTGGCCGTTAAAAATTTAGATCACTTTTCAGTACTTCAGCCATGTTAACCTTTTATTTGTATAAACGTAATCTAAAAGTTAGAAAATATTATTGCGTATACGTCATGTTTACTGACTTTGATGTAATTTAACGTAAAGACGAGCTATAGAAATGTATATCGTAATTCTTTAGTCCATATAAAAGAAAAAAACTATGTTAGAATTACGATAAAAATCCAGATTAGTTGCTGTTAACAAATTGTAAATTCAGAGTTCTAATCAATGTTTTATTTCCCCGTTTATAAATAAATATCGTATAACCAATTAATGTTTACACTAAAAGCTTAATCATATATTTAATTTCGTCTCTTCAATGAATTACTATCCTAACATAAGTGTAGGTACTTATAATGGAATTGTGATGTTCAATCCTTTAAACCCTTATAAACCTTGAACTCAATCCATTGTGTACTCAGAGTGAAACTTATCGTAAACAGCCGCGATTGTCTTTATTTTTCCTTGGGAATGACAACCGAATATTGTTGATGACTTTGGGGAAGTCTACGTCATCGCTGACACATTAGGAAACCCGTCAGTTCTTCAGTTCTTCTAGAAACTCTGTTATTAAATTAGATCGTGATGGGAATCAACATTTTCTACTTCAAAAAGTCGACTTTATAATACTTTACAAAATTAATAAGAAAACATTAATAGTTATACATATTAGGGGCACCAAAATGTTCATTATTCGTATGTTACAAGCACTGGATTTAATCACTGTTTTTTTTTATCCTAAGACTGACTGTTTTTATCACAACTTTAAGAGCACTCTTTGTAGATGATCTTGAGTAAGTAGTTTAAGTGTTAATTACTGATCTAAGTATGGTTCTGCAGGTTGTGAAACTAGGCCTTCGTTGTTAGTGTGAGCACTTTTAATCATGGTTTCTATCTTCATTGTTGATATGTTTTTCTTGTTATTGTTATTGTTATTTATTCAGACATAGCCTTTATTTTTTGTTAATAATTTTAGTTTGATAGCTTACTTACTGTACCTCTTGTAAAAATGGTGTTATACCGAGGAAATAAATGAATTGAATTGAAAGAGTAAGATTGTTGTCTAATATAAGAATTTTATGGAAAGTCCAACAACATTTTTAGTTATCGACGGAATTCACTCAGATCCACAACTAGTTTTCGTACCTGACTAATAAAGCAAATTTTGATTTCCCACAAAAAAGTTGATTAGTGCCCGTCTTATCTTGGATTTGGATAGGCTACTTTTTAATACTTATAAAATTACCTCTGCTTGGTGTTTTATTAAACAGCGCAAAGTGTTTAACTTTTAACACGTTGTAGGCCTTTCATTATTTGCACTTGAACTATTTATGATCAAATTCATAGTGAACTAACGTGAATGCAACGTGCAGCTAAATACAGGAAATGTATAACTATAACATGTTAACTATGTAATCAATATTACTCTTTAGATACTTCCCAATAACCTTCTACTCGCTAGTTAATTTTACTGGAAGAGTTATGAGACACCATGGAAACGCCCACTCTTGGGAAATTTACACACAAAAAGGAAGCAATGTTGGCAGCCTGTTGGACCAGACAAGGTTGCCAACAAACAGGAGCAAAAACCTTGAATGAGTCAACCAGATCTTACGCTCCTGAGCAAACAAATGAGACCGTTTTACTCGCCATTATGTCAAACCAGAGATAGGTACTAAAAAGTCTTTGTCTGGAAACACTATTAAGATAACCGTGGATATTATGGTATTATAATTAAAATGTAGCCATTTTTTAAATTAAAAAATTTCATGCTTAGCCACATACAGGGTTGAAGATCTATTTTCTCACTTAGGTTTCGTTACCATCATAGTTGACATGAAAATTATCTACTTTACACAATTATTTTTACCTTTCAATTTTGCTTTGTTAAAGAGTGGGTTTAATGATAGCTTAGACTGTTTGGCGCGACAAAATCGGTAATTTACATCAACCCATGTATTTCAATTCTAAAACTGGTTACACACAAATAAATATATGCTGCGACTTAACATAGGAATGAGATGTTTACTTCTATGGTTCTATTGGAGTATATTTTACGCAGATGTGCGATCAGAAACATGGTTCATACCTGTGTGATGTGTTAAACCAGTTACCAGTTGTGGTTAAATACAATGGTCTCTGTAAAAATACTTGTTCCATGTGATCAAACAAGGCCACACTAAGTGTGGCCTTGGATCAAATGATGCATACCGGCAAATCCACTATTTCCATAAATATTTTAAAAAACGTTCAAAATTATTTTCAAATCTACACGTATGAACCTATTAATTGATCAAATATGTCCAGTAGAACTGAATATTTAGTTATACAAAGTTTAAAAAATCTCTTATTTAGTACTTTCTCACCAATATAAATTTGGAGGTTTCTTAGCTATTCTGCAAATAACTTTTAAATGGTGAGTACAAAGTGGAAGGTGATATTCTGAAATAGAATCAAATATTTGAAAATTTTTTATATGCATTTCTTGAAAATACTCAATAGGGCAATCAAATTTGCCTCCAAACAAAAAAGTGAAAAACCTTCGTTTTCAACGTATTTCTCATGGTAAATATATTTAAAAAAATTTCATTATAAATAAAAAAAAAACTCGCATAGTTTTATTTGCAAATCTACAGGTAGTGGCTTTTCAAAAACCCATTATTTTATAAAATCGGTCCTGTAGAAATGTAGATTTAGTTGTACAAAGATTTTTAAAACTGAATTATTATAATAGTCTATATTGTGAGGTGTGATGTATTGAAAAACTGAAAATTTACGAACACATTGAATTAATAGTTCACGACGTTCAAGATTCCCGAGACTCGACCCTGAAGCAACTTGTTTTGTCGTCTTGTACAACAGGTTTCTTTGTGAATCAAAAATATTTATAGAAACCTCGAGATTAGGTGATTGTTTTTTTTTTAGTGAATTTCCCATATAGGGAATAAGCTATTACCGTAGGTCTCATGGTAAGACCTAGACCCGGGACCGATTTACTTTTTCGTTTTGAGGTCCCCAGAGGCCAAAAACACTATCCGTTCAAATTCATATAAATCCTATATACAGGGTGATTGATATAAGTGTGCCAGCCGTTTTATTCGAAAACTATAAAAGATATCAGAAAAAGTTAAAAGGTAAGTGCCTTGGATTTTTTATTAAAAAAATTGTAGTCAAGTCAAAAAAATTATTTTAGCCACCATTTTTCCAATATGGCCGCCAACTTTGATTTATCTTATGGAAGACCCTGTATTTTATGATGTATTCTGGTAGGAAATGTAATTTTAAGACGATTTTATTCTTGTAATTTTTTTCATAAACCTAACCGTTTCAAAGATAATAATGGTTACAGTTTTGAAATTTCTGCATGAGAAAGAGTTTCGATGAAGGCCTAAGCAAGCATGCCAGCTGTTTTATTCGAAAACCATTCAAAATTTCACAACTTAAACCATTATTATCTTTGAAACGGTTAGGTTTATGAAAAAAATTACAAGAATAAAATCGTCTTAAAATTACATTTTCTACCAGAATACATCATAAAATACAGGGTGTTCTATAAGAAAAATCAAAGTTGGCGGCCATATTGGAAAAATGGCGGCTAAAATAATGTTTTCGACTTTACTAAATTTTTTTAAATAAAAAGTCCAAGGCACTTACATTTTAACTTTTTTTGATATCTCTTATGGTTTTCGAATAAAACGGCTGGCACACTTATATCAATCACCCTGTATGTCCTATAAACTATATATATGTCCGTTAGCGCGATAACTCGAGCAAAATTGATCCTATTTTGATGAAATTTGGTACAAACGTGTAAACCTACATTTATTCGAACGAGTTCGCGAACCAGCATAATCGGACCATGGGATCAGGGGTTTATGGGGGTTTTACGGGGTAAAAATGGGTTTTTCTCATTTTTGACCCTAAAAGCTTTAAATTTCTAAATTTCTCTCTAGACCATTTTGAAGAGCTTAAAAAAACAAACAATTTAGTATATTGAAGTGTTTTTGAATGTTCATTGACTACGGAGAAAAATTAAAAAAATTGTAAATTTAAAACTCCCATGTTATTCTTATAGAGAATAAATAAACTGTTCTAGTTTGCTTGTTTATGGATATATTTTAATCAAATTTGGCAATTTGGTTAATTTCATACTAAGCTATCAATATTTCAATTGATAAAACACACCTCAACATCTTCCCCGTAGCAGCAAACCTAACTACAGTACTCACTAAAATTATTGTTATTTAAATAGGAAACAAATCTGAAAATTTATAGGGAATATTTTAGTAGAAATCAAGCCGGGTAAATGGAAATTCGCTTAGTATGCAGGTTTGCTGCGACGGGGGTATTTAGTAAATTTGAAAGTGGTCCTAAGAGACATTTTTAGAAACATTTTGAGACCTCATCCGCAAATAACGATTCTCCCAACATCTAATACTACATTTCAAGAGATGATCTTGAGTAAGAAGTTAAAGTGTTAATTACTGATCTAAGTATGGTCCTGAAGGTTGTGAAACTAGGCATTCAATTGATTAGTTGTATATTATTTGTGGTACTAGTATTTATAAATTTACAGTTGTTTAGGCAATTGGATATCTCATTTTAAGCAGCTACATATAAACAATATATTTTTTCTCAATGTTAAATTTACAAAATAAGTACGATGTACAGTTATGATATAACACGTTGTAGTAGATTACATTAACGACACAACTAAACATACATTATAAAGTTCCGAAAAGTAGTCCAGAATAAAAATTCCCGGACAACATGCTGTCCCCCGTGAAAATTTCTCATCATGGTCACTATTAAAAGGGGGCTTAGTAATTATACCTTCGAAGCTTGCGAAAGGCCAAGACAAATATATGATTGTATTTTCAATTAACAGAGTAAATTTTGGATGGGTATTCGTGAACAAATATTTTCTAGGAAACATAAAATATCCTAAAATATGTTTTTGTTGTTTGCAGAATGAAGGCAGCCACAATCTTGGTTCTATCTTTGGTCTGTTTTCTCTGTTTAATTTCAGAAGCCCAACCGGTAAGTAGACAGAGCGATTTTCAATGTTTTATTTATTAAAAGTGAAACAAATTAAAGCAAGCAACTACAACAATATTAACAACCTATTGGCGTTGCTCCAGTTGTTTAGTGATGAATAAACTGATAAAATAAATTTGAAATTGCAGTTTTAGTATGACAATTTAGGGTAACTGCGCTAAAAGGGAATATTGTCGTTGAAATTGACTATTTATCATATTACTTTGTTAACAGTCAATTAGTGACTCCAAGAATGTACTGTGATCGTTTTACACGTTGACAATTAGTTTAAAATAAGAGATAAACAGTACCGCAATGGCAGTTTTAAGGAAAAAAGGACATAGGAGATAAACAAAAACACAGAGTGTCCCGGAAATAAACAGGCAAACTACGGGAAACGGTTTAAAACGTCGAAATAAAGAAAAAAAAAGAATGATTTTTTCTAAAATCTCCTCGTTAACCAGATATCCACCATTTTGTATTTTTACATCAACAACTTAATTTTTGAATTTTTCCAACTGATCTTTATGAAACTTGATACGAATGTTAAGGTAAAACCATAGATAAAACATACTCCCTTAGTAGATTTCTCATCCTTATGGAACAGCTGAAGACAATTTTATTGTTAGTTCCTGTACGGTTTATGTAGAGGTCGTGTTTTGTTTACAATTTGTTTTCCGTTATTACAGCCATTTAAAACCATGTTTAACCAAATAATACGATCTAATCATAAACAATAACTTGTCCCCTAGTTATATAACCAAACAGTGAAGCACAAATCAAGAAATTAACCCTAAAATAATAGAAATAAAGTTTCGTCGACACTAGCGCCCATGTGTCACGTACATGAACTAGACACGAAAAACGTGCTTCAAAATTTACAATGGGATGAGAAGTCTACTTGTGTTGGTTAGTCTATGGTAAAACTAAAAACACTATGCTATAAAAAATTAATCCTATTTAAAATTTCAAAATGGTGGTCCACCAGTTTCAAATTTTGAATTGGACCACATTAGGTTTTCTAGCTTGGGCCCCTCTACTTAAATATACAGTTTCATAATGATCGGTAGGAACAGTTAAAAAGTAAAATGATTATGTAAAAATACACAATGGTACATATCTTTTTAACAAAGCCATTTAGAAAAAAAATCATTCATGATTTTCTCTTAATTCTTTTTAACCATTGAAACATTTCCCGGCGTTTGGCTGTTTACTTATGAATCACCCTGTATACATACTTAGAGGAGTACCAATGCCTTTTATAATTACTAGAACGGTTTCCTGCACTTAATATGTACATTATAAACCGATATTAAAAAACAAAACTCTCATGTTTCAGGCTCCAACTCCTAGCGATGAGAAACCTCTGACTTTCTGGGACAGAATTTTTAATGTAAGTTAAACCTAAACTACCTATTTCTGTCAAAAACATTAACTTTTTGCCAAGCCAAAATAATGGTTACCTCCCGCTATCTCCGCGTCCCGCCACCTCCGTGTACCGCTACCTCCGAATTTCAGAGTGACCCCTATAATCCTCGGTTACTTCCTGCGTTAAGACTTTCCGTCCAAACATAACCTAACTTAACTTAACCTAACCTAACCTAACCAAACCTAACCTAACCTAACCTAACCTGACCTAACCTAACCTAACCCACGGGTTAAATGTTCATTAAATCTTCCATCCACGGGGCTTCGCAGCCGTGGATGCAATGACAGCTAACAACGCAGGCAGTGAAGGGATTACAGTATAAGGGTCACTCAAGAATTCGGAGATGGCGGGACAGATTTGGGTTCGGAGATGGCGGAACGCGGAGATAGCGGGAGCACACGAAAATAATGGAATGATATAGCAACTGCTATGACCCATCAACTTGTTCAGTAACAAAAAATAAGGTATAAAATAGAATTGCAGACACTCGCGCAGATGGGACATATACTTCAGTATCCGATGGTTACACCTTCAACAACATTGTATAAATTATGTTTCATACTTTATATAAAAAAAAAATCAAAATCTTATTTGTCACTACCATATACACTTAACAAAGTCACGCATTTGTTGAAAGTCTTCCATAACCTATAATAAATAAATAATAAATAAAAATGCCTTTATTTAGCAAGCGTTCCTTATAATAAAGAAAAATTTTCATTCCTCAGTACATACTGCTTTTCAGGATAACTCTTGCCAATTTAATTACCAATACTAAATAAAACTAAAAACAGAAAGTACATATTACAAAATTTGAGGTCCTTCATCCACAGCTGTCTATACATTACTTTTAGCTTATTTCTAAAGGCTGGATCATCCAGCAACTTAAGATCACAGGGGAGGTCGTTATACAACTTGGGCCCAAAGTAAGAAAAGCCTCTCCTGCCAATCTCCAGCCTCACTCTCGGGAAGTGAAACTGCTCTTCCTTTCAAGTATTGTACCGAGACAACCAATCGTGGGAGACCAGTATTTCCATCAGGTAAGCTGGTGCTTTTTTGACCAGTACCCGATGAACCAGAGTGCAGGATTTCATCCTGCATACGGCTGCTGAGGGCAAAAGACCGGCAGTTTTTTTTCAAATTCAGATATATGATCGCGTTTCCGCAGACCATATATAAATCTTACTGCGGTGTTCTGAAGTTTTTGAATCATTTCCATGCCCTCATCGTGATGCTATTGCCATATGCCGGACATGTAAACCTGATTGCGAAGCTACTGACGTTCCAAACTAAACGTACCTTGATGTGATTTTAAACTCGGCAACGTTCTTTGATTTAAATGATTTTAGTAGATAGTTTTCATCGGAATGGAGCTGCCTCGTAAGACTAATGCGTGATAATTATGTTACAGATTCCTAGGTCAGTGCTGAAGTCTACTAAAGAGGTTGTTAATAGAAATGGTAAGAATTTGTGAGCATTGCCCACACAAAAGTGGTACTAAAATAAGTATGGTTTAGTTGTAGTATGATTAGTATCATATAGTCTTATATGAGCAATGTTTGCTTGTATGCTTGTATGTATGTATGCCTACACAAAGATATCGAAAACGGCTTCGAAGATTTCCTTTAAACGTTGTAAATAATAGTTTCTGGCCTAAAAACGTGTTAAATGCATTTTAAACGGCCAAAAAATCTGATTATTACGTTAAAAAATTAAATTTAAAGCAAAACATATTTAACATTGGCCTTATGGGTTGCCAAGTAACATTAATGATTGAACAAAATAACAAGGAAATAGGTAAACAAAATACTTGTAACATGTGTTTATAACAAGCCATCCACAGTCTACTTACAAATTACAAAATACAGTACAAAGGTAAAAAAACACCAGTTTTTACTATTGAGCAAAGATTATACTGAAGATAACTCGATAAACGTGAATAGTTCCGATCAAATACTGATTATTTTATTTGGCTCTCTCCTACTAAAACTCGATCCCCGAAGTATTGAGGTAATTTTTAACAAACTTTGATCCAACAGTGAAATAAATATTTAATAATATTGTATTTATTTTATGCAAATTTGAATTTAAACAAACATTTTAACCAGCTATTTAAAACTAAACAAACTGTCAAAACAATGTTTATGAAAGTATAGGCTATTTTATAAACAAGTGATTTTTACAATCAACTGCAAAAAAACATTGATGTGTGTTGTGGATTGCCAGGTTAAAATGTCCATAAAAATAAATTAAATATTCCTAGACTTAAATAATAAAAGCCAAAATAAGTTGCAAATAAAATATGAGCTACACTGTATATTGATTTTTCAATGGAAATGGCTCGGTCCTCAGGTACAATAAGATTAATCTTTATGACGGATAATGCATAGTTAAGTTTATTGAATCATAAGCTAAACTTTTGTCAATCTTGAAAGCCATAGATAAATTAAATCATAACAAGAAATTATACTGACTGCACCAAAGTATCCTGCAAAAAATACTTTGAGCGTTCTCTAAACAATATATTCAGGGTTTAAAAAGAGCTTAAAACAGAGCAAAAAGCTTAAACAAGGGCTTAAAAAGTGCTATGAACTATTTCAACCGTTAATAGTGTTCTCTTTCCGTTGCGAAGCAAGGGTATGGCGCCTAGTAATACATAAACTAGGAAGTGAAATATCAATAATAAGACCCTAGAAAACACATGGCTCTTGATAGCAATTATAATTTTCAAATGCCCTTAATTTTATATTACACTTGATTACATATTATTGCAAACCTCGATAAGAAGTTATCTATCTATATATTAATAGGCAAGCATGTTTCTTTAAAACCTTTTTTCTCAGCTCGTGTGCATCTTAGGGAAAATCTACGCATACCGTTAGAAAGCTATTTTCCTGTAGGTGTGCAGAATCCCTTTATAAATTTAAATAGGCTCAAAGATAAGCACAAAAAATGAGTTTAAAGATTTGAAAAAATTAACATGGATCTTATGCGTTGCCATGCTGGTGACGAAATAACAACGAAATATAAACAGGAAATCAAAACAAATGGAAGAAACTCCAATCACATGTTTTATTTACAGTGTGGGGTGAAAATAGAGAAGTGAGTACATTACATATTTTTGGTCGAGTTTCGACCACTGGACGACCTCTCGTTCTTTTTAATAAGTGTTATTTGATAATTTAAACACTTCATAACGAGGTTCTACTTAATAAAGTAGTTAGTTGATGTATTCACGATTTTGCAAAAACTGGGATCACAACTAAAATAGATCAGTTTGGTATTTTTCCTGAAAGTTCCCTTGAATCTTTTTACACTGACAATATAATCCATACACTTGCGTGTTATAATTTAGAAATATTTAAGAGTATTGAGTATTTCACAACACTGATTAATGTGTCGATTTTACACTAAAAGGAATGAATTATCATTTACAACGTATAAACATATTTTGTGATAAAACTTCCACAACTCAATATGTACAGTATACAGGATGATTGATATAAGTGTGCCAGCCGTTTTATTCGAAAACTATAAGAGATATCAAAAAAAGTTAAATGGTAAGTGCCTTGGATTTTTTATTAAAAAAATGGTAGTCAAGTCAAAAAAATTATTTTAGCCGCCATTTTTCCAATATGGCCGCCAACTTTGATTTTTCTTACGGAACACTCTGTATTTTATGATGTATTCCGGTAGAAAATGTAATTTTAAGACAATTTAATATTGTAATTTTTTTCATAAACCTAACCGTTTCAAAGATAATAATGGTTAAAGTTTTGAAATTTCGGCATGAGAAAGAGTTTCGATAAAGGCCCAAGCAAGCATGCCAGCGGTTTTATTCGAAAACTATTCAAAATTTCACAACTTAAACCATAATTATCTTTGAAACGGTTAGGTTTATAAAAAAAGTCAAAAGAATAAAATTGTCTTAAAATTACATTTTCTACTGGAATACATCTTAAAATACAGGGTGTTCCGTAAGAAAAATCAAAGTTGGCGGCCATATTGAAAAAATTGCGGCTAAAATAATTGTTTCGACTCGACTACAATTTTTTAAATGAAAAATTCAAGGCACTTTCCTTTTAACTTTTTTTGATATCTCTTATAATTTTCGAATAAAACGGCTGGCACACTTATATCAATCACCCTGTATAGCCTGCTTGGAACATCTTTTGTCACGAAACCTTGTTAGTGAATTGAGGTATGAAATTAATATGGCATAAAATGAGGCTTTAAGTTTTAAGTACAAGAAAAACTTTGGTAAAACATGAATTTGTCAATTAAGTTAACTATTTTAAATTAATAAATTAATCCTACAAGAATTAGTTTGGTCTAAGGTTGATCCTGGACATATAAAACAATAATAATTATGTTTTGTTCAGTAGTTTCCGGTGTATTTTATTTCCCTGTTTTCCTTGCTTCGCAGGTGTGAAGTGCAAGGAGGGAGAGACTCCTGTAGAAGGTCCTGACGGTAATAAGATCTGCAAGAGCGATGCTGAAGGAGGACTAGATGTAAGTTCAATATTATCAAATATATTAAGTCATTTATTTAACTTAACTCAGACAACAAAAAGTAACTATTTAGGAAAACGTTGGGCGTTAAGAGCACGCTCTGGAAATCTGTTAATGGTCCACGTAACCTTCAGTTAAAACACAAAAGCTATTTTGGTATACAGCTTATTACCTTAAATGTTTATTTACTTTATATATGGCCGCTTCTACCATTTGCTGGTATCCTTGTCACGATCAAATATTTCTCCAAGGTCTAGTTATTACAAGTTTAAGGAATTTTACCTAACCCGCCATGTTAAACTTCCCTATCCCAAGCGTGATGTATACAACTTCGTTACTTCTCGAGTGATGTAAAGATGAAAAAACTCACTCGGTGAGGTAATGAAACCCATTTAAATAACATTGAGTGCTTAACTTAAATATATATACCTCTATGGAGCCAACGACGTTCAACGCTAGAAATCAGCTGTGCGCTTGAATTTTACTGTTATGTTTTGAAGAATTTTCCTAACCTAGCTTTTGTTTGTAAATGAACGTTACTGTTAGAAGATGAGTGAAATTGATAATGAAAAATATTGTTCGTAACCTTCTGTATATTGTTGGGTCAGGTAAAATCTTGTACGTTACATGTTACGCAAGAGCGTGTTTACATCACTTAGGTAAATTATGCAACTCGCGGAAACGCTCTTACTACACTTGTAATGTAAATAGCTATAAATACATTTTAATTATTGCATAACATGTTTGATTTTTCAACGGACGAATGTTCTTTTGGAGGTATTGAAATAAAATACTATATACTTTTTTTACTTGAAACTACTTGAGAGCTATGAGTAACAAACTTTGAAACTGTGAAGGAACTATGAGAAAGTATGGAAGTTATGGATTAATTTGTGTAGTTTGGTCAAATTTGTCCGCCTATTTATAATAGTATTTCACAATCTAATTGTATACAAGTTGTTACATTTTACATGTTTTATAATTTTTATAAACTGTTTACTAATCCAAAGATTTTTTTCTCGTTTCAGATCGCACGGAGTGCCATAGACTCTGTAAATGACTTCTTAAATGGATAGAGAATCGTATTGTTGACTGATAAGTTATAAACAAATACAGTGTTAAATCATAATTTGTTGTTGTATAATGTTAATAAATTATTTCTGATTGTAATTTTTTACTAAATTGTGTACTTTATTTAATTTTATATGGTGAGTTAAAACTTAAGATTTCTTCCAGATAAAATTTAAATGCCACAAAGATTATCGAAAAATATGGTGTATAACTTTTATTGGTTATTTCAATACTCATTAACTTTACACTCATTTCATAACAGTGGAAATGAATTGATGTTTTGTTTTAATCAAGAAAGCTCTAAATTTGTAAACTATGTATAAGAGATTTCTCTGCAACTTTCAAGAGTCAGGGGAACTTGGTTGGTTCTTGAAATCGCCGGTAGAGTTCTCTTAGTGTAGAAGCGTTGTTGGTTCCTAATAAAGCCGCTAGAATGCTCCTTTGTGTAAAACAGTAAGATACGATGGATATTGAAATATTGGTAGCTTTAAGAAACTCACCACACATTCGACACTAAACTAGCTTTTACATTATTACGTCTTGCTATAATGTATGAGAGATATAAACAATATAAATACCGTCATAACGTAGCCTACATGATGATAAGACGTGTTAACAGGTTTGTATGCGTGTACAAATTAACATAAACCAATTATTATTTAATGAGTGTGCTATTTAAGTTTGTTTTTGTTTACTTAAATTTTAGAAGTATTCTTTGATTACCAATTAAAAATGTATTGGGCTAGTTAAATAATAAAAAGATAAATTAATTCAAACAATAAATTTGTTTTATATTAAAACTAGGACATGGATAAGAACAAAAAAATTAAAACTGCATTCAAATAAATGCAAAAAAGAAATCAACCGATTTTGATTATTACATATGACATCTTTGAAAATCACGTGTAATTGTGTAAAAAAAGGAAATTATCAATTTTAAAATTTTAAAAGTACAGATAGAATACGGATGTTACAGAGAAACTCCTTATTGTTTTAAGTATTTTTCTTTAGAGTTGTTATAGCTTAAATTTTCGAAACAGTAACACCTTGTATAATCGTACTTGTTTAGATTTTTTTTCTATCTATATCTATAAAAGAGGAACTATTTATGTATGTCTGTATATATGTGTGTACCTTATAGACTCCGAAACCGCTTGCCAGATTGTAATGAAACTTTCAGGCATTATTAAGCATCTTTCAAGGATGGTTTGTGTGAAGTTTGGTGCAGATCCGTCAAAAGAGCTCCGCCCCAGAGGGTTTTAAGTGGGCCAATTTCAGACTTTTTGAACTACAATGTTTACAAATATATATAACTAGCTGTTACCCGGCAACTGTTTGTAGGTTTGAATAATCACAACATGCTGTATTAGTCATGATTTAAAATAGTGCCACAGTGTTTCCACAGAGTGCAGCACAGAAAACTATTTTACTTTTGAATAAGTCCAAATATATTAAACCCTAATTGCAGCACACCTGTGCACTCAACATCGTTTAAATTCTCCAATGTTAAATATGTAAACATAAAAACCTTTATCAAAGTATTATAAACAATAAAAGGGATGGCAATGCCGTAATATTTTTATCTTTTGTTCTATACCCACAGAATCTAACATAAATTATTAAGTGAATAATAATCGTGCGTGCTATCTCAGGTATTCAAATGCCTCTCAATTTGTCATTTACCCACCACACTGTCATTAAAAGAAGGAACTCCAATAATACTAATGTGAAACTTAAATCCACCGAAGCCGTTCAACGTTACCAGACTGACAATTTAAAAAAACCAACCACCAAAATTTAATGAAGCAAAAATTATCAGTGGTAAGTTTAAAGGAGAAATAGTCTTAATCCCAAGAATACTGACGAGCGTTTATGTGGTATGTGAGGCAAGTCATATTTTGTGAGGTCAACTACTAGGTCTGAGGCTTAGGTTTGGTTAGGTTAGGAATACCAATATTGCATTGTATATTTAGCCTTGCACTCAAAAGTAAACAAAATTTGATAACGCACTACAGTATATGTTATTTACGTAGTGGTGCTACTGCGGTGTTTAATTGTTCCTGAGATTTACTTTCTATAGATAATTTGTGGCAGAGTGATTTGATAACTGAGTGGGTTGCTGTAATTTGTTTGAAATATGCTACCTCATATTATTATTTATATTTTAATACACAATTTAAATCTTACTAGTCTGAATATCAATTAAAATCAATATAAATAATATAATATAATATAATTTAATGTAATATAATATAATATAATTTAATGTAATATAATATAATGTAATCTAATATAATATAGTATAATAATAGTAGAGTCTTTACGACACGAGTAGAAAATATAACGCACGAGCCTTGGCGAGTGCCTTAAAAACTTCTACGAGTGTCGTAAAGACTATTAACGCTACGACAGTTTTTTAATTACTAAAAATCTGGTTTTTTATTACTAACAATCACTACTCATAACTTCCTAGAGAGGTTATGTTTTCGTTTATTGTCATTGTCACTGAAAGTGATGCAACGACTTATTGTATAATCAGCTGATTTAATGTAATTACGTGTTTGTAAAACTTTGTTAAATAATACGTTACTTTTTCGGGCAATAGGTTCTGCTAGCAGCATTCTTACTAAAATAATATATCAGGTACAATTAGGGAAATATTGCATATATTTTTGGACACTTGAATAACATAGTGAAACAGTTAATTTACAGTTTGATCTCAGCATCGAATATGTGGTCCACAACGAGTTGGGTGAAAAAGTGGTTAAGAGGTTTAAAAAAAAAACCAGAAGAACATTTTCATTTATCAATTTAACCTTATTTTGTTTCGTCCATTTAATGAATTGCTGGTATGTAATTGCATATGGTACGCTGCCTTTGTTTTGACTTTGGTGGCAAAACACAAACAGTTTGTGCTCTCATTTCTATCTCGTCAACATCACTTTCACTAACTGATATTTTAAAATCAACCTTCATTTAACTTCAACCAACTTAGGTTAAGAATACGCGAGTATCAACAGGAACAAGCCGGATCAACAATTAAAATTGTCAACTGATCAGCTGATCAGCTGATTAGTTGAAGTTCGAAGTATTACAATTGTACTTCTTTTCTCTCAATCCTTGAACCTCATTGGTCCGTTACCCGTGTTGATATGAGAAAAACTATGCTGATATGAAATTAAACTATGCTGATATGAAAGTAAACAGCTGTTAAGTGAAACTTTTCAATTCTAAGAACTGAACTGAAATGGCTACTTTAAAAAACGGTCGTAGGTAAAAAATCTATTAGTCAATATAAATCAAATACAGTATATGCAGCACGCAGCATGAAGGGATTAGGGGATAAGGTCAGGTAAGAAATAGTGCAGTCAAGGCACAGCAACCAAGGGGGAGCAGGTTACCTGTTTCTAGACGTTCTACATAGTTAGGATTTTGTAAATTTTAAAGCATGAAACATATATTTTTACATTACAATTCTTTTGCCATACTACTCCAACTAAGGCTAGATTTACAGTTATATTGCCTTAGGGCATTTAATTATTAGAGTACTAAGCCCAAATCGAGACTCTAAAAATTGCTTAATCTCGTGTTTAATTTCTGCCATAAATTAACAATCCCTCTATGGAATATTATGGCCCCAAAAGAGCCCCTAGTGAGCCAAAGGTGAGTTATGTACCATATTTACCTATACAATAATTTCCTCATAGCTAAGCACAAGTTATTGGTTTTATGAACAGTTTATGTTACATATACACATGCGTGTTTGGGATGTAAGCTTTGCAGTTGGTTGCACTGCTTCCGTTGTCACCGGAAGAGGCGGAAGTAGCGTGATAACCAGCTGATTTCACGCGGTTTTGATTCTATCACCTACGATGGCATATTTCGATACGGACATCAACTACCTTCCTGGTGTACTGATCACTATACCCACTATTAGACTGGTCAATTTAATCAAAAGGTCGCCGATTCGATCCTGAGAATGTGTAGCTTTTTGATGGTTCGAAACTGGACCCATCTGTCCTTGATCATTGGGCTTTCAATAAATGGTCCTGACTAATGTAACAGCTGGTCTTGGTCAATAACTAGGCATCACTCTCCATTCTACACTCATCCTTCACTCATATTTGGGTTAAAATGCTTACATGGGTGGCATCCCCATCTCATGGTAATAATGATAGTAAGTATCAAAACAAAACTCCTAAATAAAAAAAATTTAGAAAGGTTACTCAGCTGCAAGTTTAAGTTAGTTGAAAAAAAATAAATATATCAACAATATCTGGGCACTCAAACTAACCACACAAGCATAGTTGCAGTATTGAAAGTAATTAATAAAAGAACATTCAAGTAACAGATTCATTCTGTAAACACCATCAGAGTGTATGGTAGTAATCTAAAATTTGATTACATAATTATATAACCAAGCAATTGGTATAAATATCAGTTCTCCTTAATTATTTGAAATTAAGGTCGACTATATTAGCTCATTGTAAAAAAAAAAAAACATTTATTAAGGCCTAATTCAAATACATGCTTGTCTAAGAAGTTAAAATAATGTGTAATTAAAATTCATCAAAATAATTTTAATTTAAGACTTTGAAAGAACAGATTTTTACACGACAGTATAGACGACTGTGTTGGTTTAGCATATGTCTGCGTTGTTATTCCAATAGTGACAAAAACTAGTTTAAAATCCATTGAAGGTTTGGAATTCGCGGATTTTCAAATCAATACTGTTTCTATCTAAATAATTATTATGGATCGAAGCTATAAAGAATAACGGGTGTATTGAAGATTGTATCAACATATTACGAGGGGATGTCGGTAGGGGGAGGGAGGAAGGGGCTGCACTCTTGCAGAAAATTGGTCCATTGCTTCCGTCGCATGTCCTAGCCGGATGTACTTAATATATACTTAATAGTTACAGCGGAGGGGGAGAGATTAAAAATCATAATAAAGTAATTTTAACACTTAACCCTCCCAATTTCCACTTAAAAATTCATTTAAAGAATACAATGTTTTGGTCTGTAACCAGTCTTTACACTTTTGTTTGATTTTTTTATCTAAAAAAATCAGGAACCAAACATTGAGTTTTATCTAGATTTTCTTTCGAT